TGTAGCCGGCTTCCCCGTTCTAATACCTGTAAGCTCTGCGACACTCAGACACCCCCGATCCTTCTGTGACCCTGCGGGATCTGAGGCCGCGCTGACCCCGCGTGGGCTTCACCCCGGTTTAGCCTCTGGAGCGATGTCCCTCAGCGGAACAGACTTTTAAAAGTCCTGATTGTGTACTCCGTTGCTCCACCACTTGCCGGGAGCCGGCCCCTCCCCCCCACGGTCTATCTTCCCGTTGCTTTGGATTCACTTCTCCGCCAGCCCTACCGTTCAGAAAGTGGTTGATTTTCTGTTTCTAGAATTGCTGTTCTTCTTCTCTTCGATCTCCTGTTGGATTTGTAGGTGTTTGCAATCTTTAGATAAGCTATCTAGCTGATCTCCCGCTACCTGAAGTAGTCTTAGCCTGCTACTTCTCCACCATCTTGACTCCTCCTCTTTTGTTTCTTTTTCTTTCCCTTTATGTTTATGTCTACTTTTGTAAGTTGGTGGTTTTGCATGTTGATTTGCTCAGTTTTGCTCTTTTTTATGTAAAACGTCCTTGCTCTAGATTTTTGCTTTGTGGTTACCAAGCATTACATAAAACATCTCCTAGATAAAATAATTTTTTTTCTGCTGAAGCAGTTAATCTTCATTCACCGAAAATGTTCCATCTTTATACTCTCTTATATTTTTCACATCATAAGTTATCTCTATATATGCTGTGATTTTATTACCAAGTTATAGTAGGTAGTTATTTTTTAAAACAATTTTCCTTTATCCTCTATGTTATAGTTAAGAGTTTATTATACTAATCTATAAAAGAGTTACAGTATTCCAATTCTGACTGCTTATCAACTTAATCAGAATTCTGTGTACTTTTGCCCTTTTGTTTCAGTTCAAAGAGCTCTTTTCAACATTTTATGTAAGTCAGGTCTCATGGTGGTGAACTCCCTCAATTTTTGTTTGTTTGGGAAAGCCTTTATTTCTGCTTCATATCTGAAGTATAACTTTGCCAGCCAGATTATTCATGACTGGCAGTTTTTATCTTCCAATATTCTGAATATGTCATTCCATTCTCTCCTTCCCTGTAGAGTTTCTGCTGAGAAATTTGCTGATAGTGTAATGGGGGTGTCATTGCAGGCTACTGTCTTTTTTCCCTTGGCTTCCTTTAAAAGTCTTTCATTATCATCGATTTTTGACGGTTTTAATATAATGTGTCTTAGGAAAAGTCTTTGTGCATTCAAATAGTAAGGTGTGCTATTAGCTTCATGGACTTGTATATTCCTTCCCCAGGTAAAGGACGTTCTCAGCTATTATTTCTTTAAATAGTCACTCTCGGGGTGCCTGGATGGCTCAGTGGGTTAAAGCCTCTGCTTTCGGTTCGGTCATGATCCCAGGGTCCTGGGATTGAGCCCCTCATCAGGCTCTCTGCTCAGCGGGGAGCCTGCTTCCTCCTCTCTCTCTCTGCCTGCCTCTCTGCCTGCTTGTGCTCTCTGTCTGTCAAATAAATAAACAAAATCTTTAAAATAAATAAATAAATAGTCCTTCTGCCCTCTTCTCCCTCTCATCTTTCAGGGCTACCCATTATTCTTATATGGGCTTTTCTCATAGAATCAGATAATTCTCATAGGTTTTTCTTCACTTGTTAAAAATCTTAGTTTTCTCTCCTCATATACTTGAATCACTTCTGTATTTCTCTGTTCCATCTTACTCATTCTGTCTTCCATATAATCTGGTCTATTTCCACTGCTTGCCTAATACATTTTTTCATAACATTTCTTGAGTTCTTCAGTTTGAGAATTTGTTTGGTTCTTTTTCACAATTTCAGTCTCTTTGGTAAAGTACTCCTGCTCATTAATTGTAGCTCTGAGATCATCATATTGTCTTTCTGAGTTTTCTTGTAGCTCATTGAATATCTTCATAATAACTATTTTAAATTCTGTTATCAGTTAGATTGCAGTATTCCATATCTTTGGTTTGGTTCATGGAAAAATTGTCATTTTCTGTTATACTCTGTTACCGTGATTTTTCATGATGTTTGATGAAAAGTGCCTCTGCCACCATATTTGAAGCAGGAAATACCTTTCTTATTTAGGCAAGGTTTTTTGGTTTTGTTTTTAAGATTTTATTTATTTATCAGAGAGAGAGAGAGAGAAAGAGTACAAGCAAGGGGAGCAGCAGGCAGAGGGAGAAGAAGACTCCTCCCCAAGGATGGAGCGTGATGAGGGACTAGATCCCAGATCTGCGATCATGACCGTGGCCAAGGCAGATGCTTAACCAACTGAACCAACCAGGCATCCCGGTTTTGGGGGGTTATTTTTTAAAAGATTTTATTTTTAAGTAATCTCTACACCCAGTCTGAGACTCTTAGTCCCAACCTGAAGATTCAGAGTCTCAGGCTCCACTAGCTAAGCCAGCCAAGTGCCCCCAGGCAAGGTTTTGTTTACTTTGATACCAACAGTTATCAAAGTAACATTGGTAGTTCGGAGCCCTCCTTTTGTTTTCCAGAAGGTGGCGCTATAGCACCAATTCTTGATTTCTCTACTGATGCTCAAAACACACACAAAAAGGCCAAGCCATGGTTGAGGTGGGAGGGCTAAGTATGTACTTAGCACTTGGGCTTTGTGCGTGCCTCTGCCTTGGTAGGGGGAATCATCAAGTGCAAGTGGAGGGGGAGGTCCCAGAGGTCTATGGTTGGTTCTCTTGAGTCCTGGGGTAGATAGTAGGAGTCACTTTCCTTCACCTCTCTTTGTCTGCCTATTTCACTTCCCCTTCCCTCCCCTTAGTCACTGTGGTCTCTTCTCAGAGAGAGCAATTGGTCCTAGACGCAGCAGCCCACAGGTCCAGGCAAATTCACCACTCACCCACTCACTGCCTTCACCCTTGACCTTTTCTGCCAGAAAGGTCATGGCTCTAGCACCACCTCCCCTAATCTGCCACCTCCTCTGGGGTCCAGTTCACCCACATTCACATCCACGGGTGGATGGATCTCTGGGGTGTCTTTGTATGTTGTACAGAGGCACTTTTGGAAAGGAGGTAGTTATACAGGTCCCATTAGTTGTATATCAGAAGGGAGAGAAAAAAAGGAATGACTCATACAGCCTTGCAGCCAACATCACTGTGGGAGTATATTTTGCTGTAGGACTCTAAGACAAGCTGAAAATAACAAGGAAGTACTTCAATTTAGGAAATACATTGTGAAATTTGGGTCTCATTTTCTAGAATTGGGAAATAGAATCCAGTCAGGTGCAGCAGTAAGTGTGCAGAGCCACTGACATTAGTAACCCGCCCTTGGCAAATGGTAAGTGGGACTGTTCCAGTATGGGGGTAGAGAGAAAGGCCACACTTAGGGCAGCTGGTCCTCACTTTTGATCCTGCCACTTGCTTATTCTTGTGCCTTCTCTGACATTGGTCTCTGCTTGCCTGTCTGGAACAATGGATGATACTCCTTGTCACCATTGCATGTTGTGAAACAAAGTAACTTTATCAGTAAGGTAGATTTGGTATGGGGTCCTCTGCCTGAAGACATTCCACAGATACTAGAACTCTTTGACAAAGAGAATAGAACTAAAATACCATTTAATCTAACAAATGAATTCAAGAGAGGATACTTACCATTATGAAAACAAGTTGTGTGTTGTGTATACAAGGGGATATAGGTTGAAACACGAAATTGGTGATATTCAATCACAGATAAGGCACTTTCATATTATATCATGTATTAACTGGATGGATTTATTGTGCTGATGTTATACTACAAAAGACTATAACAATATGGAAAATTAAAAACTATGTAAAATGTTTTATACACTAATTATAACTATATATTTTTATAAGACTCCCATGGTACATAGAAGAAGACTAGAAAGAAAAAAGCAGATGATTTATGTTTGGATCATGAATGTGTAGAACTATTTCAACATCATTTAACATGGAATTTGATATGAAACATGATAGAATTACTGGTTCTTGAGATAGAATCTTAAAATTTTTCACTAGAAAATGTCTACTTTAAGTATAATTTAGATTAATGTCATGAGTTGCCTCATTTTGGGTGTACATTTTCAGATTTGGGGCATTTTTGTCATTCTTAAAACAGATATGACTCTTCTTTGAAGCTTATGGTATCACAAACTATATAATTTTAATTTTAATCTTTTGGATAGATCCAACATTCTAGAAATAATTACAGCAGCAGCTCACATTTGCTTGGTCCCTACAAAGCACTTGTAATATGTAAACTTGCTTTCTATTATATATATCTCTTTTCTTTTTTTCCAGGTCTACCAAAAGCAGCTGTAATCAGTCAGCTGCAGTCTTTAAAGGGTTCTGCTGGCTTGTGGGGTTTCGGTTCTACTGCTAATGACATCATTTATATAACTCTTCCTCTGTATCATAGTTCAGGATCTCTTGTGGGAATTGGTGGATGTGTTGAGTTGGGTAAGTTTTCATTTTCTGTTTGATGAGTATTCAAAATGCTTATTAACTTATGTTCATTAAATTTTGAAACTCTGTCAGAGAATTCAGAGTAACTGTGGGCTTATTATATAGTTACAACATAATTTTTATTAAAAGGACCCAATTTTGTGCTATACTCAGTCTATTCCTGAACTGAAGAGAGCAATGCCTTGGACGTTTGGCTGTGTGGTTGGAGCTGGCTGTTAACCAGTCTTCCTTCTCTATGTGGTCACTCATCCTTTGATGATCTACTCCCCACCTCCTTAAATGGTGGAAGGAGGCTTCCAAGAGGGTGAATGTAGAAACTGTGTAGCTCTTAAGGCTTAACCTCAGAAATCACATTGATCATTTCACCTGCATATTGTTGATCAGAGCAGGTAACAAACCAGTCTAGAGTCAAGATATGAAGGGTGAGGAAACAGATCCTACCCCTTGAAATAGAGAGGTGGCAAATCCACATTGTATAGCAGGAATTGTTGAGGCTACCTTTGCAAACAAGGTACCCCAGGTACCCAGTAAGTCTGTTGGTAGCTCATGACTCAGTAGATTCTATTCATAAACATGCTGAGATTATTTGTCTGGCCACTAAATAATATATAATGGAGACCATTCACTACTACCTGTATATGTCTGAAATATAAAAAAGTAATTTTATGGATATGTAAAACATGACCAGTGTCCAAAATAAACAAAGGCAAGAGTCAAGACATTAGCATTTTCCTTGGAACATATTCATATGACTTACATTGTTGTGAAATTTAGGTTGTTACATTTAGGTTCTGTAGTCATCGATGAACTTGACTGGTGCTATCGTACCAATTCTTTCTTACCAACTCTCAACATCAAGAAATATTGAGGCAGCTTTAAGGTTTTAAAAATAAGTGTACATATTCAAAAACAAAGTAAGTGAATATTCTTGGTCTCTGTGAAGAAGACTGACCATTATCTATAGTCATGCTCTAATACTTTCAACTCCCCTCCTTATTTTGACCTTATCTTTCATCCCCTGTATTTCAAAAAGAAAAAAAAATACACTTGCAGTCAAAATGTAGAATTATAACATGTATTTTTTTAAGTTTATTGGATTGTAAGATTAATGGTTTCAAATGAGCTTGATTAAATGGCCACTGATGGATTACAAAAGCCTTGAAATTGAATGTACATGTTCTAGATGAGGCAACATCATTTCTGTTTTATGTCACTTCTGCCCTTGAATATTTTCCCCCAGTGCCTGTTCTTTGCCTTTTCTCATAGGAGCTACTTGTGTGTTGAAGAAGAAATTCTCAGCAAGTCAGTTTTGGAATGACTGCAGAAAGTTTAATGTGACTGTGTTTCTATATATTGGAGAACTTTGTCGCTATCTTTGCAAACAACCTAAGGTAAGAGGAATCATTTTCAGAAAGGAAAAATAATTTCAGAAAGAAAAAAGTATGGAGAGAAAAATAATTTGTGTGTGTGTATGTGTGTGTGTACACAAAGGTGGAGACCTTCCAGAACATAGTTTGACTGACTTACAGAGATGCAAGTCAGAGGAAATAAAAGGAGAGCTCTGCATGATTGTACTGAAGTGCTTTACATTATGACAGGAGAGGAGAGACTTGCAATCCAGTCCACTTTATGTTGAGACTGATTAAAATTTCTGCATATGTAGCACACATCCGATTATGAAGTTAAATGCCTACTCTGTACACAGAAAGTGGTTACTGCAAGGCTGAATTAGATCATCTTTCAAAATGCTGTTCTCTAAAAAACAAAACAAAACTAATGATATTGACTATACTTGTTTGTTATTTCTTTTCTTTTGAATAAGTGATTACATTAGTCTGTTTGGTTTTGATTTTAAGTTAAAAAGAAATTTTGCATTCATGTGTTCTTGTCTCCCCACCTGAAACTGTCATTCCCACAAACAACTGATAAATTGGCCCTTTCTGAAAATGGACAAGCAGAGAGAGTTGCAAGAGCCTAGGGTTAGTCTTTATTCATTTGTTTGCGTTTTTGCCTTCAGAAATTCTTTTCCTGGTCTTGTTTGTGTTTTGAGATGCTTATGTTTTACCTGATTTCTTAAAACATTCTTGAGGCTACAAAGAAGTGACCTTCTGTCATCAAATCCACACCACCCCATGAATAATGGTGATTGGGAATGCCTCCCTGTGAGGGGCAGGCAGCAGAAGCTGATGGCCTGTCCTTGGCCTTTGATAAACCCCCTTCCTCATTCCTCATGCATCGCCTTTGCCATCATTATGCCAGCCTAAGGCATGGATGGTGGACTGGGATATCTTCTCTGTCTTCTCTGGCTAAAATATGGACATATAATTCTTCCTTTACCCTCAGCACAGCTGAGACTAGGCTGAAAGCATTTAAATTAGACTGTGTTGAAGAGATGGGATTACACAGGGAAGGAAAACACAAGAAGAATATGAAACTGGATAGTTTTATTTACAAAATGCTTTTATTCACTTTAAGCTTGACTTTTACCATGTAGAGATCTCGTCTAGCTCCTGACCCACACTCCCTTTGTGCCCAGAAGCCATCCTTGTTCTTTTCTCAGTCAGGAGTGCTTCAAATAGCTATACATTCCCTAGATCCATCTCTAAGACAGGGAGTCCCAGAGAAATGTTTTAGACTTTTTGGCCTTCATTTTCTTTAGGGAGACTAGGCCCATGTCAAAGTTGTGGTCTTATCTTAAGAGTCCTAGTGGAATAATTAATTATAATTCCACAACCTGGTATATTTTCTAGTTCTCATTGTGTTTTTTGGTGATGTGATATCTGGATGAGGATAATTTGGGGAATTAATGTCCTCCATGAAGATAGAAGCCTCCTTCAGTAAAGGACAAATTGGGCACCACACAATGAACTTCTTCACAGACTTTCTAACTACACCCCTAACCATTCCTTTTTCTCCTCATCCTTCAATAGCAACATTAGTTTTTGCAGAGTTATTTGCTCAGTAAGTATGTACTGAACAGTGGAACACATGCATTTTTTTTTCCTAATGTTTTACTCTGTTAAATGACGCTGCAATTAGTGTCTTTATGCAATGTAGCCAGTAGAAGGGCTCAGAAGTGAAGGCAGTCAAAGGACATGGGTATTTTGGCGATTTTTAGGGCATATTTCCAAATTACAGTTCAAAGTGGTTAACGTGATTTAGAATCTCGATGATGTTGTGAGAGTATACTTATTGTGTGTATGGTCTCTTTATCAGGACTGCGTGATATTAAAAATAGTGGTTTCCCAGTTATGCTTCATGGAGAACTAGAACCCCCTTCAGAGTTCCTCAAAAGTCACTGAAGGATAGTGAATAGGGAAAAATAGGGCAATCTTCACAGTCTTTCAAATATGTTGGATGAAACCCAGTTTGCTAGGGCTTCTTCTTTTTTTTTTTTCTTTTTAAAGATTTTTATTTACTTGAGAGAGTAAGAATGAAAGAGAGAGAAAGCATGAGAAGGAAGAAGGTCAGAGGGAGAAGCAGACTCCCTGCTGGGCAGGCAACCCAATGCAGGACTAGATACCAGGACTCCAGTATCATGACCTGACCGGAAAGCAGATGCTTAACCAAATGAGCCACCCAGGCGTCCCTAGGGCTTCTTAATAATATTTTGTTTGAACAAGGAATGTCTTGGGTTTTTTTTTTTTGGTTTTTTTTTTTTTTTTTTTCATTTTTGGTAATGGGGGAACACTTAATTTCATTTATGACTTTATGGATAGAAACAAATATATTTTTAACTTCTTTGTTCAGATTACTAGCAAGGTTGAATAATTAGAAAATTATCAGTAGTTCTCTTTAAAATGTCTTTTCTGAGTCTTTTACTCATTTATGCCTGTACACATAATATTTTATCTGTTTGAGCCATCATTTCCTATAATAAAGATATTTATTAATAGTTTGTCATGTTCACTACAAATCTTTTTTCAAAGCGTTTTTGTTAGAATTTTTTTAATAAAAAGAACATTTTCACCTCTCTGAATTGGGAATGAATTAATTTGTGGAAAATGCTATAGCCACAGAGAATTTGAGAGAACTGAGAATTGAAAGTAGAATACGTGATTTTTCTTTTAGTTAATGAAATATTTTCATTCTTAAGTAAAGTTCTTTGAAGAAAAGATAGTGTTTTTGACATAATCTGTCAGCATTTGCCTGAAGACAAGTGGAGGAGGAGAGAGGGGAAGTAAAAAATAGCTCTGCTCAAAGGAAAAAGTGATCATTTTTTTTGAGCAGCGATTCATTGTATTACTTAATCCCTTTTGTTGATTTCACACAGAACAAGAACAAGCAGTTCTTGGCATTAAAGATTAGGGAAAGAAGAAAGCCATTCTGGTAAGACATCTGACCCCTTCAAGGAGGTCTTGTGTTTTTTTTTTGGTCCAATATTTATTGCTTTCAGTGAACTCCTACAGGCAGGGGCCACATCTGCTCGGTGGCACATCAGGGGCTCCAGGCAAAGCCAAGAGTGAGCAGGTAACCAGGTCCACACCTTCAGAGAATTAGAAGTGAATGTGTCCTACACCCTGGTTTGAGGCACCATAGACATTTGTTTAATATAAATCCTTAACTAAAAAAAAAAATGCAAACCACATATTCCCTAAATACATCCAGATTTGTTCTCCATCCAAGGATAAGTAATATATTCCAAAGGAGGTTTACCTGCAGGCAGAATTCATGGTCTGAGTGCTTAAAACAGAATTCCTGATTGCTCTTAGTTAATGACATCATATTTTAAGTCTTAACTGAGGTTCTTGGAAGAAAAGATAGCGTTTGGAAACAATCTTTAAGCAATGACCTGAGGCAAATTAAGGAGGAAGGATGGAAATAAATAGAGCTTTGCCCAAAGCTGTATGTGGTTGTACATAGTTGAATAAAAACACCCTAGAGTTGGCCTTCCCTGGCTGGAAGCTTTTATCCACCCCCCACCCCCGAAACCAACCCTGTCTTTTTTCTCTTTTTCAAAAGTCCAGTTACAAAAGTTCCTTTGGCATAAACATTGGATGTGCCTCAAACTTCTGGCAGCAGCACTACCCTTTTTTAAAAAGCCACGGTACTGACTCTTCTTAGTCACGGAGGAGTGGAGTAATTATTCTCTTCCCTGAAGAAGAGGAAAACAGCTCTCCCCACGTTTCAGTCTTTCAAGTCTTCTGCATTACTGAAACAGCATCATACACTCTCTGGATCGGGTTCTTTGTTTTCTTAGCATTAGTGCTGCATTTCATATTGGTTGGTGAGGAATATGGTGGCATGCTATACATCAGTGATCCTCTGTGGGATTCCTGCACACTTCATCTTCTTTAAATACACTCTGCCTGAAACTGCCAAGAGTTAGCAATATCTAGGGATAGAATCTTACCTGTCACTCATTCGGTCATTCGAGTAATATTGCAGGTTTTGGTATACAGGGGCACATAAGACAAGCCATCTTTTCTCATGGTACTCATGCTCTAGCTTGGGAAGGGAGAACGTACAGCAGCCAATACATGAAGGAAAGTGACAATGGCAAGCGTTTTGAAGAAACAAAGAGGGTGAGGAGGAGGAGATGGTGGGTGGTGAGGGTGTGGCATTACTAATTAGGTTGAGGGGTCAGGGAGGGCTTCTCTGAAATGGTGACCAGTGAGCCAACGAATTGGTATGGCAAGTGTGATCCAACCATGAAAAAGCTGGGGGATTACAGTCACAACAGAACAAAATGAAAATGAAGAAGCCCACGGAGAACACAGACTGAATATTTAGAGAAGGAAAGGGTGGCTAGGCCACTCACAGACCAGATCTTGTAGGGCTCAATATGTACCATCGAGGAGAAATTTGGGTATCATTTCCACTAGAGCATTTGGGAAAAGATGAAGGCAAACAGAAAAAAAGAAACTATACTGATTTGGAATCTATTTGAAGGAAGGATAACAAGACTTTTAACTAACAGGGTTAGATTTTCAAGACTAACTTACAGGGTTAGGCGGTGAAGTAATAGAATCAATGATGAGTCTCAGGTTTTTGGTTGAAATGGGTAAACTGTGAGCCATTGTCAGGTAAGGTAAACTGAGATTTAAAGAATTAAAATTAAATTTCTTTTGGACTTGTTAAGTTTAGTATGTTCATTAGGCATTCAGGTAAAGAAGTGGAATTAGTAGTTGGATGTAGGAATCTGGAGCCCAAAGCCTACAGAGGGCAGGATATAATTAACCAGGCAAAGATTTATGTATGTAATATTTGTTTTTCAAGTTAATATTATCATTTAGGCAATATAGTTTGTATCAATGTAAAACACCTATGTTTTGACATTCTGAAGGTGTATCCTATACTTTCTAGTATATGTATTTTGGCATATGTTTTTTAGTGAATATATCTTCTGTAAGTTACATCCTTTTTCTCTCTTCTATTTTCTTAAAAGCCA